ATTGTAATAAAACGATTTCCTTGCTTAATGAGCCCTGTGTTCACGCCACGGAAGTCACCAAGTCTCGCTGGTTCTGACAGCGAGCACGGGCAGAACCCAACTTCGTCTCCCGCACGCGGTGCGATGTCGGGCAGTGCGTCCGCGGCACCGGGGTGTACATTCTAGGCTCGATGAGCACGAGCGTCGCGCTTTGGGCACGCTATCAATGACGAGTGACCTCGTTGAGGATGTGGAGGTGGTCGACTTCGAGTTTGACCTTACCCGTATGGGATGACGACGAAGGCGAGCTGCGCCAACGGCGTGTACGAGCCCTGCTCGTGCCTTGCGGACCCCATGTCCGTTCACTGCCTTCTCGTCAACCGAGGAACGTGGTGTAATCACCAATGACCTCGACAGGGCTTAGAGGCGGCAGCTTGAAGCTGCCCATGAGGCGGCTCTAAAGCGCGCCAATCCACGGCCAGTCATTAACCCTCGTGTGGTATATGGCTTCCGCCCAGCGGATCCCGCTGTGGAAGCGAAGGACGTGGTAACTCGATCGTTACGCATCCACATCATCGGGCCCCCGGTCAGAACGGAAGAAGAACTTGCCAAACGGAAAGCTCTTCGAGCTCGTTTCTTGGTTTCACAAGAACTCTGTTGGAAGCTTATCGCACTCGTCTGAGTGCTCAACGAGGTGGCTCTCGTGTACCCGCAATGCGGACGATACTTGTAGTGCTCGTTCCTGGCGAAAGCGCTACAGATGACGTAGCGCTCTTTGAGCGATGGGTGCAACGGCACCGGAAACTTTCCTCACCACTGTATTACCCACAGTTGAGCCACAAGGAAGTGGACGTGTGTGTGAAGCGACACCTCCGATTTGCGATTGCCAAACTTAACGCACGCCGTCGACTTCCTTCGGATTGTCGCCCTGGCGACGTATGGGTTAACCCTTAACGCTCCCGCTAGCTCTGTGTCTGCGACCGCAAGAGCTCAGGGTCACTGCTTGAGCTCAGCTCATGGTCCTTCTACTTCCCTGGCTATTACCGGGAAGCGCGGGGCGTCCTGATCTTTTTGATTGAAATCGTCCACGGCATCTGGGCAATCTTGCCGAAGTGGCGTCTCAACCTCCCGCGAGTTCTCGGAGTCGGGATATCCCTGTCACTTCACCAGATATTGGATTTGACCCTGGTGACGATGTCGTCTCAATAGACACTCCACGTGATAGTGGACGTCACCGTTCTCATCAAGAAGAGTCGGTGCCGGGCGGTGACGACCGGGTCGACCGCCGTCCGTTGACTCGTGACGCTCTCGAGCTCTTGAGGACGAGGTCCTTCTGATCGGAGCTCCGCTGAGCGTCATGCTAAAGTAGCATATTGCTGTGCGGACGCTCTTGACGATTTGAAGCACGTCGTGCGCCGGTTGCCTCGCCTTGAGGACTACCGCTCTCTGTCGGGGCGACTCCCAGCCGTGGAGCAGGCGAATGCGTTGCTGCATGCGACGGTGGAGCGCTTGGTGCCGTTAGGAAGGGAGGTTGTTGCACTCCGTGCTCAAAACCAATTGCTGGTTCAACTTCTGGATGGCCGTGGGCCCGTGGGATCCGCTCTGGCGCCAATGCTTTCGCGTTCACATGCGCCGGATTCCGATTCGGCTTGAGCAAACCCACGTAAAAAAACGGGTGGTGCGCATCCGTTGGGAAGGTATAGCGTACACGCTAGGCCTCTTGGCCATAACCTTAAACGGTCCGATGAACCGTGGGCGAAGCTTCGTCCTAAAGACAGCAAAGGCTGCATGTGTAGTTTTATAAAGTTTAATAAAACTAGTTCCTCGACCTCAAAGCTTTTCACTTTGCCTCTTCCTTTTTCATCTGCATATTCTTTTTGCAGGTCTTGGCTTTCAGCC